GTGTCAGAGCACCCGTGTGTCAGAGCATCCGTGTGTCAGAGCACCTGGGTGTGGGGACAGTGGATTGAGCTGGTGGTCAGGGTTGAGGGTGGTCGTGGGGGCTCAACTCCCCGTCTCCCAGGGTCTTGGGGCAGAAAGAGCCCAAGTGTTGGCACCTGAGCCCCATTTTCCTCAGTTGAGAAATGAGAGTGTGAACCTCGAAGGTGAGCTGTGAAGGTCAAGTGAGGTGTGAGTCAAAGGGCTTTGAAGGCCCTGGCTGGTGTTGCTCAGTGGATAGATCATTGGCCTGCAGACTAAAGGGTCCTAGTGAGGGGTGTGCAGCTGATCAGTGATTCTCTCTCACCATTGATGTTTCTCTCTCTCCCTTTCCTTCCTCTCTGAAATAAAAAAAAAAAAAAAAAAAAGGGCTTTGAAGATGTCGGAAATGATGCCAGTTTGCTGTGGGCCAGGCCCGCACTTTGGGTGGGAAATTCAGACCCGGCAGCGCCCACCTCAGTCCCTCTCCCTTCGGGGCCTTTGACGGGTCACTGCTTCCACCTGGGCCTCTGCTTGGCCGCCTGCTAAGGGTGCTGTTCTGGACAGTCCCCGAGCTTCAGTGGGGAGCCCAGAGGGGCCCACCGCCGGCAGGTCCCGGGGTTCCATCCGGACGGGGTGCCACCCGAGGGGTGTGCACAGGGCCTCCCCGGCCATGGCTGTGCTGTAGGGAGGGGTCCAGCCTCGAGCTGAGCAGGTGGAGAAACGGGAAACCGGAGGCCCGCAGCAGCGTCATGCCTGCCCCCTGGTGGCCAGCCCCGAGCCTTGCGTGGCACAGGAAGCTCCAGGCAAGGCCAAGGGGATGGAGGGTGTGCGAGGGGGGACACCCCAGGTTGATGATGACATCAGCGCCTTCACGGGTCAGAAGCCCTGATGGCACATGTAAGACCCGAGGTGTCATTGTCAATTTCATGTCAAAATAGAAGTCTGCAAACAGGCACCAGGCCTGGCTCCTGATGGGAAAGTTAGGTATTTGGGGGAAATCGGGGGAAGTGCGCGGTGACAGTGTGAGCGAGGAATGGGGGCTCGGACAGAGGGAGCGCAGCCGATGGACAGTGTCAGGTGGGCTCCAGGCGGGCGGCTTAAGGGCGTCGTTCACCGTGAAATGCTGTCAGCTCTGCTGCCAGTTCGAACATTTTCAGGATAAAATGCTGGGGAAGGTCTTCCCCGAGCAGGTGACCGCTGAGCTGGCCGCCACGTGGGCACCAGTGGGGGTGGTGGTGGCCTTTTTCCCTGGGATCGGAGTTCAGGCCCGGTGTTTGGGGGGTGCTGCTGAGCGGGAACAGGGAAGCTGAGTCTGGAGGGGGTGCCCACCGTCCCAAGATGGTGCCCAGGTGGTGGACAGGGGAGGCCGGGCTTTCACAGGACACGTTCCCGTAAGTGGGGGTCCCACTGCTGCTCTGTGTGCCCTGGGGTCTGGCTGCTCCTTAAGAGAAGTGGGCAGGGCAGGAGGCCCAGGGGCCTGACAGGCAGGGGGAGGGCAGAACGGGACCCGCCCAGTTTTTAAAAAAAATATGTTTTTATTGACTTCAGAGAGGAAGGGAGAGGGAGAGAGAAATAGAAACATCCATGATGAGAGAGAATCATGGATTGGCTGCCTCCTGCACATCCCACACTGGGGATGGAGCCCACAACCTGGGCCTGTGCCCTGACTGGGAATCGGACCCTGACCTCCTGGTTCATAGGTTGATGCTCAACCACTGAGCCACGCTGGCCGGGCAGAGACCAGCCAGTTTTAACGACAAGCGCAAGTGAAATCCATGGGTCTGCCGTCCTTGGGGCTGGCTCCGCCGCACCCTCAGGGACCGGGCGTCCCGGCACAGCCAGGGCAGGGCCAGGGCCTGGCCAGGATTCTGCGCCCTACGGGGAACCCCGAGATGTAGGCAGCCTCTGGTTTCTGCTCAGTGCCTCGCTGAGAGCAGCGTGGGCCCTGCCCATGCATTAGCTCCACGGCCACAGCCGGGGCCCTCCCCCAGCACCAGGCAGCGGCTATGGGAGCAGTCGGTTCTATCACATATTATAGTCTGATTAGTATAATCTAATGTGTTATTGCCGTAAAAGTGCTCATTGAGTTCACTGCAATCATTCATAGTTTAAAAGTTTTATGAGCATCATCCTGGCAGACAACTGTCATTTCAATTAAAAATAAATTACAGTAAAAAATTACTGATTGAGTCTTGAGAATAGCCAAGAGAACTGTATGATCTTGCTCTAAAATTACATGTGAGACTTGAGCCGGTTTGGCTCAGTGGATAGAGCGTCAGCCTGTGGACTGAAGGGTCCTGGGTTCCATTCTGGTCAAGGGCTCGCTGTACCTCAGTTGCAGGCTTGAGCCGGGGTGTGTGTGCGGGAGGCAACTAATCGATGTGTCTCTCTCACATCGATGTTTCTCTGTCTTTCCCCCTCCCTTCTACTCTCTTAAAAGAAAAAATCAATGGAAAATATCCTCGGGTGAGGATTAACAAAAAAAGTATTACATTTAAATTGCACGTGAGAAATGGTGGGAACCTGAAGGCTGCCTGGCAGCCCCGGGAAGCTGCGTCCGGCCTGGTGCGTGGGTGCCACCTGCTGACCTGGCTCTCCCAGGACCCAGAGACTGAAGTGGATGGGAGACGAGTGGCCCCAAGAGAGGATGGCAGTCGGAGCTGTGGGGTGACCGTTCCCCAGCCCCCCTGATGGAGGTGTCTGTGCCCAGACTGGTCGTTGACACGGG